AAGGTTGGACACTCCTGATTTTAGGGTTCTCTAACACCATAATGAGATTTTGTCACATTTAAAATGGTTTATACAGATACACAGTTGTTATTTATAATCTTTTTCATCTTCCTTGCTTGTAACTCATTAGCAAGGATGGTACTTTCTAAATGGTGTTTCTAATGTGTTTTAATGTCTAGCAAGATTCTAAAATATGCCTGTCTTATACACTTCTTGAAATTGGATTGTAACGGATAATTCAAGGAAAAGAGCTGGACCAGAGGGATCTACTATATACAGTAACTAAAATGAAACTGTTCCAATACAATTAAAATTTTCAGTGACAAATGTTGTCTCCTATTTCCATTCTATTCAAGTGATAAGAACACTAATTTGAAAAGCTGTGTGTAGTTTTGTTCACTAAAATGCAGTTCATAGATAGCAGCTTGATGACAATGAAATATTAAACCCCAAATGATATTATATTTGATAAGCCTTTGCTTTTTATTTGTCTGATGCACTTTGTTAGTCAGACATATAAAAAAAATAATAAATTATATGATATCCATCATCAGAAAACAACCCTGACTGATTTAAACCAACATTCTGGTTTGTTAGCCAAGAATCAATGCTGTACAACAAAACATAGAATATCTTGGCAGCATCTAAAAGTGGGCATTTGTGTTTTTAGGGATTTCTAACACACCTGGAACTTTGAGAATTAGTTTTTATCTGTCCCAATTTTACTTCTTTCCTTTCCATTCCCAAATATTGATACTTGCCTGAAAATTGGAATAGAAGCATGTGATAACATGAAGTCTTGGGAATGTTAATGTCAATGCTGCTAATATTGAATATTCTTGCTTTGACAAAATGTGCAGAACTGGTACTTTTAGAGTTAACTCAGATGAGAATAGGAGGGGGGAGAGAAAGAATGTGTAGAGAGAGCAATTTTGCAGGCTTCAAAAGGAAGTGAACCTTTGCCCCCCCAGGCTAGTTGGAGAACGTGACTCATGACAACAAAAGAGGGAGGGAAATTGATAGCAAAATAACTGCTCTGGGGTGGAGATTTCAGATCTTTCCATCCATCCATGATGTGCTGACAATCTGTTACACTGTAATAAAGGCTTTTAAGGATAAACAATGTCTGGAAGTTCTTTGAAATGTTTCATTAGTCGGAACTCTGACAGTTAACTTGAAACAAAGTGTTTTGAAAAATCAGATATTTCCTAGAAAAAGTGGCAAGATTCTGTATTCCTAAATGATGACAGTTAATTTCATCATCTTCTAGAACCTCGTGTGTGTGTGTGTGTGTGTGTGTGTGTGTGTGTGTGTGTGAGAGAGAGAGAGAGAGAGAGAGAGAGAGAGAGGGAGGGAGGGAGGGAGGGAGAGAGAGAGAGAACTATCTTGTGTTCTTTCTGGATTCAGATACATAAGCACACATACAGATTTTCATGTTCACAATGTCATGTCACATATGTTGAGGCTGAGGCTGCTCTGCTACTGGGAACTGTAATGAAAAGGAAGCAAAAAAAAAAATCAGACCTCAGTTTTCAGCTCCCCGTTAGATTTTTGGCATCTACTTTAAAACATAAATGTCATACCTATTGCAAAGAATAGATTTAAATCTGGGATGGCCAAACTTTTGATAACCAGGCCACAGGAAATTGGAAAATATTGACACAAAGTGAGGGTGGTCATGTCACACATTCTTCTTCATTGGATGTATTTAAGTAGACAGAATTGGGATTGTGGGTGGGGGAATTGGACAGGTGGGTAGCATTATCTCCCATATTTAAACTTTTATTAAAATTGTTATATTTTACTGTAACACAGAGAAAGGGAACCTCTGGTTTTTAAATGGCACACAATCACATCATGAAACTGGAGCATAGAAAAAAGTCAAGGAGCTGTTAAAAGGGAATTGATGGGCTCATATCATTTGGATTATAGGTTGCCATTTCCTGCTTTGAACTTACATAATAATTGGTGTCTGGCAGAAGACCGAGAAGGCTTGGAGTCTAGATCTAAGAGTCAGAGGTTTGAAGTATTTATATTTTTAGAAGATAGACTGATATTATACTGTACATCAACAGGATACCTGCACTAGGCTTGTTCAGGAATTTGGATCCAAATATAGTTTGTATGCAAAAAAAAGTCTTTTCTTCTAAGCAGCAATCTGTGTTATCACTATTTATCTTTTTATATTATCTAGCTCATATTGTGTATAGGTTTTGTAATATTTTATCTTTTTAATATTGTAAACTGTCCAGATTGATGATCAATAAATTTAATAAATAAATCATTTTTGCAAAATAGCAAAATAGGATTGAATATAATACATTTGCAATGACACACACAAACTTTTATTAAACCAGTGTAGCTTAGGATATTATCATTGGTGAGAAATTGCAAAAACAATGGCTTTTTTTAACTCATAACAATTTTGGGTAAAACTTTGGCACGCTTGTGAGGTATGGATTTTGTTTTATAACTAATATGAAATTGGTGTTACCCTGAATTCCTAATGAAGAGGATGGGGGAATTCTTATTCATTGGATGTGTTTAAATAGATCAAGGTCATAAGTTGAGGAAGATGTAGTGGAGGATTCTTGCACTGGACAAGAGTTTGACCTAAATGTAAGTTCTAGTCAACAACTATAGTAAAGTCTCTTTTTTCAGGGTTCTTATTGCTTTTTTTTTTATTCAATGAAATGAAAGCAATTTACTTTTTTCTCACTTCCTAGTTGCAAGCAAACGTCTTTATTTCTCTTCTATTACTTTCAAATTGTACAGTTTTAGGCTGATTGTATCATTCCTTAATCCACAACTATCAAAGCAGTGCAGTTTAGTGATCTGCCCAGACTGAAATATATACATTCAAGTTAGGATGTGCAATCCCGAGGGATTGGGTAAAGCTGCTATTGATTCATACACTGAAGTCATATGTATAATGAAGGGAAAGACCAATGTCCATGCAATGAATTAAATCAAGTGGTTAGAAAAGTCTTCTGCTGCTTCTGAGGTTGTTATTCAAAGTATGCAACTTACAGCTTCACTTCCTCATATGAACAATTATGTGATGGAGGTCTGTAGCAGTCTTTATCAGAATATCACAACTGCCTTCCAAGATCAGATCAAGGCTCATCTTAATCTATGATGCTTGGGCTGCAATGGTGGATGTAAATTTCCTCTATAGTTGTTCTCCTACAAATGGTGTTTTGACACATACATTCCCCAATTCAGAGATAACATTGAGTTTTCCAACACCAGATCAGAGGCCCCCAACCTTTTGGGCACCAGGGACCGGTTCCATGGAGAGAGGTTTTCCACGGACTGGAGGGTGAGTGTTTTTGTGTACTGTCTGCATCCAATGAATGAGACTTTGCTTGTTTATGCGGACCGGTTGCTGGTATGCTGTGGCCCAGTACTGGTCCACGGACCAGGGGTTGGGGACCCCTGTTCTAGATGAACCACTTCTTCACTTTTCCAGTCTTATTTTTTTTTAAATCACCTTGTCTTGTGATAATACTTTCACAGCCTTTGAAGAATTTTATTTTGTCTGTCTAATTCTCTCAAACAGCTTTATTGGATGGGCTTTTTCCCAGTGTGTGTTTGGATAGAGGAAGAAAGATGATCTACTGTCTCCAACCTATATATCATATCCACCTCTCACTTTTTTTAAACAAATGAAAGAGCCTCAAGACATCCAGGTCTTACCTTGAGTCCTGTAATCATTTTTTGTTTCTTATTTCTTTGTGATCAGTTCATTAAACTCTTTGTATAAAAGACCTCTCTTTTACACATTGTCTCAATTTTATTCTTTTCTATACTCTTACTTCTGTAAAGCAGCCAGCAACAAATCTTAATTTGCTTTCTCTTCCAAGAGAGCTCTTGGAAACAGAATGCAGATGCCACACAACTGGTTATTGAATTCATTTCTCTTTGAACAGAGGCTCAAGACTGATCAATCTAGTAGACTCTTGTATCAAACTTGTTTTTAAATTTGACATCCCCGAGAAAGGTTTATGTGTCCCAACAATGAATGGGTGGGTATCAAGCTAACATTTATACACAATGGACCAAATGCTCACCATGTTACGAATGTGGAATGTCAAGGAAATCAATGCTGTGTAACCTGCTATTGTATCTTACTATGTAGTCTGATGTGAGTGCTAATTAACCATCTATCACACAGTATTGCTAACACATCAGAGACACAACGCTCTGAATTCTGGCCAAAAGAAAGAGAGTTCTTCCAGTGTGTTCTGACCAACAGCTAAAGCTGATTTGAGGAAGGGATCTTTTTGAAGAGGAGCTCACTTTGCCAACCTGTCAACTTTCTGATATCTCAGAAAATCCAGTGACTCAAGGGAGAAAAACTTACAATCTCAGGGCAGTGGGCATGACAAGTCTGGCATTTATCCCAAAAAAACCAAAAACAAACCCTCTTACTTCTCAAATACTTTTTGATTTTTTTTTAAGTTGCAGTAAAAAGACACTTTAGGTTCAGTGAACTCTGAACAGTGATCAGGCTGCTATGCTGTCTGTTCCTCATTCCACTGTCTCTGCCTTAAAATAGGCACAGGGGAATATTTCAAAAATATATTGCTGTGAACTTGAACTTTAGCACAGTTAATAGCCATACTATTTTCATCCTATTCTGCCAAAAAAAGTCATGGGTTTTTAAAAATATATTTTCCTATTATAAGGAAGCCCAAAGATAAAACATTTTTTTTCAGGTCAAATCTTAAAGTGGCAGAAATTAAATTGCTTTGGCCACAAATGCCGAAACACAAATTTGAATTGAATCATGCCCTCTATGAACTTTGAATCTGCAATATGAAATCAAATGAGACTGACTGATAGTTATTCTATAATTATTACCCATGTTGTGCATAAAATAATATTTTCCCACTCTCTTAACTTAGGGCTCTTAGTGTAACATAATTTTTATTGCTTGTCCAGAATAAAAACCAACACTTCAGCACATCCCTCAAAATGGCAACGAAACAAGTCTCAACATTTGCAAAACATTCCTTTATTAATAGAAATAAATTATTTAGTATAAAAATGTGCATGCGTCAACCATTGCATTTATCATTAGCACAACGCAGGGTTTCAATTCAGTCAGCCATCACAAGAAACAAACTTCATCTTCTTATACAAGTTGAACAAGTGTGGAACAGGAATGGAATTTCTCACAATCACAAAAAAGTACTTACAAGTATAACATCAGACATGGTTTTATTTCAACAGAATTTTTTTCACAAGCTAACATTGTTTTCCTTTTGTGATTCACCTTTTTTCATGAGTAAACAGTTCAGACATTTGACAGGCAGTCATAATATATAATTCTGGGTCATTTTTCCCCCAACCCACCCATGCCTCCTGCTATGGCCTCATGGTCAATCTTTGTCCTTTTACATCTTAGTTTGTTTTCTAGAGACATTTCAGAGGCTGAGTTCTCATGATGTGATAGTCAATGTTGTTCTTCAGTTCACATACTGTGAGTCTTCAGGTATGATTGGTTTCACCATTCAGTTTGCATGATTGCTATAGCTGACGTAGGTTGTCTTGGTAGAGGAAGCTGTAAGGAAAAACAAATCCAAATCAGCTAATTGAATACAAGAAATTTTTAATTATGGTTGTGGAAAGAGGAAAAAAAATGTATTAAAGCAGCTTATTTGTTCTTAGAAATGATTTCAGCTGATTTGAGATACTGGGAAATCCTGAAAGAAATGATTTGTAATTAGATATAGCTAATAATATTAATAGGGATTGCTAAAAATTTTTGTAAAGTAGCTTTGCATGAGGATGTTGCCCAAACATAGAATTAGATCAATCAATGAATAATCAAAAGGTTTTTTAAAGTTACTCTTACAGCTGCTAGTGATCCTCTGTAAATTTGATAGATTCTTTAGCATCATCTGATCCATTCACATGCATGCACTTTTTTCGATGCAGACATGCTACAAGCAGATTGTTCTTAAACCCAGAGACAGAAGCCCCAATCTTTTTCTCAGTGACTCCTCTATCAACATTATTGTTCTTTTTTTCTCCATTTTCTTTTAACCTATTGAAGCAAATGGCCCTGTGAATGGGAATGTGTGAGAAAAGTTAAAAAAAATGAATTAACTCTTGGAATTATATCCTGACTGGTAAGGGACAGACTTTGGATGTGTAAGTCCTGGAGCAAGAAAGCTCTTGTTAGAGAGACCGGTGTTCTTCTCTTGAGTGGCTAACAATGAAAAAAATAGTCTTTAATTGTATTCTAGATTAAAATAATTAAATTGCATTGTAGATTAGATTAAGAGCTGATTTGCCAGGGGGTATCTTAATTAAGTAGAAATTAGAGCCCAGATAGTGCACTCTGGCCCACTGTTCAACATTAATTTTTGTCACTGGATGTTGCTCATTCTGGGTAAGGTTAACTCTGAACTAAAAGTAGGCATGCATCCTGCTTTGTAGAGCAGATTAAAGTATGCATTCTTTCAATCTCTAAAGTACAATTCTGTAATAATTTAAATAATGAGAAATTCATGCAAATATGTATACAGGTGGTCCTTGTTTAACAATGACTCACAGCTATCATTCAAACCTATGAGAGTGTTTAATGAGTGGTATTTATGACCTCTCAGTGAAACACCCCACAGTCACATGACTACAATCTGGGTGGTCAGCAACAAACCCAGATTTTTAATTGTTGCAGCATCCCAAGATCATGTGACCACTATTTGCAATCTTCCATGCAAAATTGGTTGATGAGGAAGTTGACAAGAAGTCAGAAGATGTGATCTCATGAGGTTCTCACTGAATGACCTTAAAGGTGATAACCAAGAACTGCCTGAATTACAGTCATTAAGCATTGCATTTTGCAACCATATTGCTCAACAATAGAAATTCCTGTCCCAATTACTATTATTAAGCATGGATCGCCTGTATTAAATTGTGTACATCTTTTGAACCATCACTGCAACTTCCACAGATATTATAGAAGGATGAAAGAAATATGTGTGGGAGTATCTTTCCCCAACTGAAAGAGCTCTTGTATAGACAATGCTTTTATGCAAATATGCTTTTATGATTGAGATTCCAATGCATCAGAAGAATGGTGAAATAGAAGGAGTTTTTCACTGATACCAAATCTATGATATACTGTAGCAACAGGACTAGGAAACACAAATTATACCCAACTTTGATTTGACATAAAATATAGCCACAACTTTTTCTGGTGGGATTAAGTCAGAGCTACACCTGGATACTACCCCAAGTTCTTTTATGGGGATTGACCCTTGAGTTGTTGCTTACCTCAAATCTGATTAATTTGGCCAAATGCCCAACAGCTTATGCAGTAACACTTGTAACACATCATTTATATGTTAATAATATGTGTTAACTCTTTAGAGAATATATTCTATTTCTATGAGAAAAGCACAAACCTTGGAGAATGAATCCTACAACTTGCACAAAATGTCTTTCTATCCCTATCAATAAGCATCACAGAAATAACCATTGTAACGTTAACAAAAGCAATGGGTACCACCTAACCAAACTTGGTGATGAGTGTCTTGAAAGTCTCAATTGTATCTGTTCTCGTAGACTAAATGGGGAGGAAGTCTTTGTTATTTTAATCTATCTAATCTGATTTTAGCTGAGAGCCTCTTCAAGATATAGATGATTCCCCAGTCCTCACATCCAACAATTGCATTGGATGTATGTATGACTATGTAGTGCTTAGGATTCAAAGAGGAAAAAATGGTTTAAAGCCACAGATTAGCAAGCCCAGGTTCTGTGCCTTCTGCCATTTGCTGGGAATTAACTGAAATGACGAAGGAGATGAGAGGAGAAAGCATCAATTGAGCCCAAGTTCACAGATTGAAAACCATTCTGAACACTTTGGAAAAAAAACACCTGCCATTTGCCAAATAGGCAAGTTTACTGTTTTCTTTAAATTCTTTCACCTGTGTTCTAATCTAATCTAGCTCTTGACTCATATTTATTGCTTATTAGTTTGTCTCCAAATAAAAAAAGCTCTGTGGTGTGCAATGTACATGCACTTTACAGGTATGGCTATTGCTGTGGAGGTGTTAGACTGCAAAAGCAGAAATGCTAACAATTATGGCAGAAAAGTAGATTTGTGCTGTTTTTAGCCTATTTTTAGGCAAGGTTACAGTGAATCCAGTGATGTTGTTTACTTCTTTTCTGGCTTTAGTTCTGTGGTTGTTTGTATAGGCAGGCAAGTTTAACTGTGGGAAGGCATTAATTTTTTTTTAATTACTATAAATAACTGTCCCCTTTATCAAATGTTTTGGAGTTGGATGGTGGATAGTAATCATATACATCTTAACTAGCTATTTTTATGGCCCATTTTCCAATTGCTTTCTATGGCAGAGCACTTGAAGATATTATGTTCTGAGCTTGCTCTATATTGTCCAGGTGAAATTTTGGTTTTTGGAAGTGGCACCCTTTTTAAATTAAGCCTTTTCTCCCATTTCATGTACATCTCAATAATTGTACTTGAATATTCACTATATACCAGTTTAGTTTGTAAGGACATTCTAAGGAAACCATATATAAAATATATATTTTAGTTGCACAATATACAGTATCAGCAGATCAGATGTTATACTCAAAGATCAAAAGAGAAAAACCTAATTGATTGGAGAGGTAGAAAAGTCTGCTTATTGATAACATGAACAAATAAACAATGATTGGGAAACTCTATTTTCTGAATGGAAATATATGCCATTTCACTATGTGTCTTTAAAAATAGATAAATTTGTTGCAATAAATTTCAATGTGGAAGGTCAGAATTTGAGCCAACCCCAGAAACATTGCTTTAAATCCATTTTTGGAAAAATATAGTTTGAACCTTGCAATTTGATTTAGCCTTGCCATCCACTTTCTAGATGTAACAAAATAGGAAAGAAAATATTAGAATCATCTTTGTTTATCCTCATATTATACACACTACAATATTAGTAATACATATGACTAATTCCCTGATAAATTTATGCATCTATTGACCTTAACAACCATGATTCTAATCTTGCAAATGATCCGTAGCCAACAACCAAATATTATTAGAGTTTTTCCATTAGAAGATAGGAAAACATTATCATGAAAATATCAATATGAAATGTACAGCTAGATCATACTATGAAGTAGATTATATTGAACTTAAAACAATGTGCTAGAAGACAGCCTGGCAGTTTGGGCCAACAATATTGATTTTCAAGCTAAAAAAAAAAAAAAAGCTATAGTGACATTACAAGCCTAAATTTATTTATTTACTGGAATTTCTATACTGCCTTTCTGCTGAAAATTACCAAGGCAGTGCATAACAATTCAAAACAAGTGATAAAATTACTAAAACATGAAAAAAGTGTTATCCTTAAAATAACAGTAGAGTATCAACAATGATTTCTATGTATTCCATGGAGTTCATTGTTCCTGCTGCTAAGAAAATGAGAAAAGATTTTACAGGATAGCTGTAATTTAAATGACTAACTGTAAAAAGGTTTTGAATCTTTATCGAAAAGCAAGTAAATGGGATCCAATGGCAACTCAATGACAACTCAGTGGAAATGTCACAGGAGATCAACTCTGGATTCCCAGTAAATGGAACCAAGGAACTCATGATCAGCCCAATAAGGCTTCAATTTCAGATTGTACTTGCCATCCAACTTTGCAGCAAGGAGTATTTAGGTATTCAAACTGCATATCGTACAGGGGTTCTAACATGTGACCAACACTCTGAATGGAGCCCAGAAAGAATAGGCAACTAGGGCATTTGTGTAATCATACACAAATTAGCAGTCCAATTGTTACAAATAAAGTTTCCAGATGTTTTCAGCGTCATATCCCAAAGCAGGTATGAGGATTCTCCAGGGAAATCCTGGATATTTGGGTGCCCTCAAGTCACTCTTGACTTCTGGTGACCATATGGATACATTCCTAGATATTTAGAGTGGTTTTATTAGTGTGTTTTTGCTTCTTTATTTCCCCTTTTTTTCTACTCAAGCATTTCAAATTGCTGTCATTATACTAATCATACTAATTGTGCTCTGATTCACAATTAAGAAGGTAATTACATTCAATGGACCATTTTTTCATACTGATACATTATATACAATTAGGTCTTCCTTCCTTCCTTCCTTCCTTCCTTCCTTCCTTCCTTCCTTCCTTCCTTCCTTCCTTCCTTCCTTCCTAACAGGTTCATAAAATTGATATTCAGCAATATCTTCTCTTGTCACTATTCTCTTTTAGTTACAAAACAGGCATGCATGGTAAAGCTTCTATGTTAGGCAATAAGCTCTGAAGAGAATGAAAAGATAACTAATTTGCTCACACTAGGATAGCCTTTTCTAATATTATACAGAATAGAATAGAATAGAATAGAATAGAATAGAATAGAATAGAATAGAATAGAATAGAATAGAATAGAATAGAATAGAATAGAATCTGGAAGGGACATTAGAGGTCTTCTAGTCCAACCCCCTGCTCAAGCTGGAGACCTTATACCATTTCAGATAAATGACTGTCAAGTTTCTTCTTAAAAACCTCCAACATTGAAGCACATAAACT